CTATTTAATGATGAAGAAATGGGTTTAGAGTATTAGATGATAGTCATATGGGTAGAGTTCGTAACCAAATAGCCATTGCATTGATGGAAAATAGAAATCGTTAATATATGAGTTATTTATGAATTATGTGTTACCTATAAATTATTTGTGAAACTATTTTTTTTATTTATTATTAATTATAAACTTTATCTTATATAAAAATACTTTTATATTTTTAAAAATTTATTTTAAATAGATAAAAAACAAAGTTAATTTTTTCTATTTTGAGTAAAGAAATTCATGATTAATAGAAAATTATTTATTAAATACCCTTTATGATAATTTTAACCTAAATTAGAGTTTATATAAATTATTTTACCAAATAGCTTATCTATAAAAAAGAGCTTATAAAAATGAAATTTACTAAACAGCTTTAACTTAATTTTAAAAGCTATTATTTTTTATAAGATCTTTATAATAGCTTTTAAGCTAAAAAAAAGCCAAGCCAAACATGCTCTAAATATTTTTTAACTAATTTGATAGTTTGGTTCATAATTATGATTCAACTAATAAAAAATAATATTGCATATAAAATAATATCTTAAAATTATAAGCCTTTCTTTCTTTTTATTTATTTTATAGATATATTGTTTGATTATTTAATTTTTGTATTTAATTTTATGTGATTTGTAAATATTTATACTTAATTTCAATCAATGAATAGAAATTTGTCAAATTGTCAATTAATGAACTTGATAATTGACAATGTAAGATCATATTTTATTTAATTTTAATATTTTAGTTTATGCCAATGAGAAATGAATAGTAATTTTTCATTGGTTTTTGGATACGCAAGTTATGAAAAAATATTTTAAAATATAAGAAATTATCTCACACGACATAATTCTACTAATGATGGTACTCAAAAATCTTTTAAGTAAAGTAATGTTGAATTTGATTTAAGTACTTTGCAAATGCTGAATTTAGAAATAAAATTTAATTATTATTATTATTATTTTAGTTATGACACTACTTAAAAAAATTTTAAAGTCTGCCTGTAGGAGCACTAGATCGGTGCCAACGAAGAGCACTAAGATTAGTACTCCTTAGGAGATTGTTAACTAAGGAAGTGTGATTTGACCAAATTTGGAGCTCTTCGGCCAAATTCAATGGCGAGATGGTCAGCCTATGAGAGGTAGGGTAGAGGTTTTTTTAAAAAAAATTATAGTTTGATAATTTTAAAATTAATGAATGATAAAATTATTTTTTCAATATTGACATATCATTAAACTAAACGAAACGATTAACAGTTGAACTCACGTATCTAATAAAAAATATTTTTTTATGATAAATGTTACATTTTGAAAATAAATAAATTCAAGTAAAATTATAACTAAAATATTAATATATTTTATAAATATATACACCGAATAAAAAATCCAAACAAAAAATATTAGCTTTTAGCCATTGTAATAAAAAAAATTATCTTTACTTTTTTTATCATAATTTATTTTTAATTCATTAATATTAAAAATGAATCCTCCGTCCAAAAATTCACTTTTCCTCGTAACCTTTTAATTTTATTCAAAACCGAAATAAACAAAATAATTAGAAAAATAAAAAATAAAAAATATTAATTTTTATTTAAAAGGAATTTTGAAAATTTTAAAGGACAATTATGGTATTTACGAAAAAAACATAAAAACCTAATCTCCGCTGTCTTTCTTTTCAGCAACCAGACAACTAACGAGCAAGTGTTAAACCCTAATCAGAGGGAAGAAAGAGAGAGCAGAAGCAATGGCAAAATACGACTTAACCCCACGAATTGCGCCGAATCTAGATAGGCATTTGGTGTTTCCCTTGCTGGAGTTCTTGCAAGAGCGACAGCTACACCCAGACGAGCAGATCTTGAAAGCGAAGATCGAGCTGTTGAACAAGACCAACATGGTCGACTACGCCATGGACATCCACAAGAGTCTTTACCACACCGATGATGTCCCTCAGGACATGATAGAAAGGAGGGTCGAGGTTGTCGCTCGTCTTAAGGCCTTGGAAGACGCCGCCGCTCCTTTGGTCGCTTTCTTGCAAAACCCTAATGCTGTTCAGGAATTGAGAGCTGATAAACATTATAATCTCCAGATGCTCAATGACCGTTACCTGGTTGGGTTTAATATTATTCTTAATTTTTAATTGAATTTGTGTTGATTTTCGATGCCGTTTAAAACCCTTTTATTCTTTTTTTTTTCTACTATGTGTTTTCTAAATTAGTTTGAAAATATGTTACTATTTTTGGATGTAAAAGGGAAAAATATTTTAGGATTGACTAAATATTTTCAGAATTTCTATTTTTACGATTAACCAAATGCTTAATCTTTTACGTAAAACAATTATGTCTGAATGTGCATTATATTTAACCTTTGTAAGGAATTTTATGTAAAAAGCAAATAGAAAAAAGTAAATGACAAGCAATAACCAAATAGAGACTTATTATACTTTGTGTCATAAAATTCTAGCATTTTTCTTTGTGATTGTGTCTTTGAGTGGATTTACATCCATGAAAGATTGGGTTTTTTTTTTTCTTGAATTTTAATGGGGGAAATTTCTTTTAACAGATTGGTCCAGATCAGATAGAGGCATTATATCAGTATGCGAAATTCCAGTTTGAGTGTGGCAACTACTCAGGTGCTGCTGATTATCTGTATCAGTATAGGGCTTTATGCACAAACAGTGAAAGGAGTTTGAGTGCATTGTGGGGAAAGCTGGCTGCCGAGATACTTATGCAAAACTGGGATATTGCTCTTGAAGAACTCAATCGCTTGAAAGAAATAATTGATTCTAAGGTTTCTGTTAAGCTCCTGATTCATTGCCTGGTTTCTTAAAATTTGCTTTTACATGATTCATTGTTTCATTTATTTGCATTTGTATTTGTCTTGCTGCAGAGTTTCTCTTCACCCTTGAACCAAGTACAGAGTAGAATATGGCTGATGCATTGGAGCCTCTTCATCTTTTTCAATCATGACAATGGAAGAACACAGATCATTGACCTGTTTAATCAAGACAAGTATGCTATTTTGACAAGTTTGCCTGAAATTCTTAAATTGTCTTCTTATGTAGTCTATCCATATTCCTACTGTTGTTTCTACTACATCCTAAGCTTGAAGACTGTATGGTATCTTGACAATGATGTTGCTGATGCCATTATTGATGTTATTAGCAACACTGTATGTCTGTATGTAATCGTTTGTGCATTGTTCACTGTTTCAATACTATGACTCACTTTTCTTTCAACCTGCCACTGCTTCCATATGCTTCCATTTAGGATTGCCCTGCAATGAAACATGTTTATAAACTTTATTGGATTGCTTAGATAATTTTGGAGGATGGTATTGTCGCTTAATATTGTCATCATGAAAAGTTAACATGCTGGTGACATATCATTTGCAAAATTTTTTGTCAAATTGTTAAGGAAAATTGCATAAAGTGCATGAGTTGCCCACAAGATTGCTTGTGGTCGGAATTTCATTGCTTAAGGGAGGTAGTGGTTGGAATTAGAGGAACATGTGTCTTTGGATTTATATGTTTCTGTTTCCTTTGCATTTCTGTTCTATGATATTGTTTTCTGTGGATTTACATTTCTGCTTTATCAGTTGTCCAATATCTGTGTAGTTCCCCTATTTAACAAGCTGGTTTCACTTCTTACCAGGTATCTAAATGCCATTCAAACCAGTGCTCCCCATCTTTTAAGGTACTTAGCCAGTGCTTTTATTGTCAACAAGAGGAGAAGACCTCAATTCAAAGATTTTATTAAGGTTATCCAGCAAGAGCAGTACTCTTACAAAGATCCCATCACAGAGTTTTTGGCATGTGTTTATGTCAATTATGACTTTGATGGAGCACAAAAGAAGATGAGGGAGTGTGAAGAAGTAAGTTTCCTGTTTCTTGATGCCACTCAATTGATGATATTTCCTATCGACATATTGTGCTATAATCTTTTAGCTTGGAGTTCCATCATCTTCTTTTGATGCCTTTAGCAATAAGTTTGATTTCTGAATTGCAAGCTCTATGTTTACACCTGACTTCTGTGTAGGTGATACTGAATGATCCCTTTCTTGGAAAAAGAGTTGAAGAAGGTAACTTTTCTACCGTACCATCGAGAGATGAGTTCCTTGAGAATGCCCGTTTATTTATCTTCGAGACATACTGCAGAAGTCATCAGCGCATTGACATGAGGTAAGTTTTTGATTTTGAAACTGCACAATTTAGCTTCATATGTGGAACAATTGACTCTCAGCAATCTGGAAATTCCTATGTCTTACTGAAAACTGACACTGAAAGGAGATATTCATTTGAATACTGAATTTCCTTGGGCTCAATGTCAGTTTTGCAAGCTGCTTTCCTGTAACTATGTCATTCTCAGCGTGGAAACTTTTTTTGCTAATTGTATATTGAGGATTGATAATTTTTAGTAGAATAAGGAACTAGTTAAATCAGAACGGACCTTTCTCTTTAATATGTGAACATGTGCACAATAGGCTTGCATACACAAACCACACAATTGCACACCTTTAGTCTGTTACAGTATCTCTTATTGTAGTGATTACATGGATTCCCATTTCACTTTCCATCAGGCATCTTACTACTTTTAACGAAAGCAGCATGCTGGCACCTTAAGGTTGAAAGGATATAACATTGATGAGATTCATATAAAAGGACTTTCCAGCTCATATTTTGTCTGGTTCTAGCTGCTTTTCTTAAAATCTTGGGCCAACCTTAACTGATCTTTCATGTGTTTCAAGTGTGCTTGCTGAGAAGTTGAATTTGAATTATGAGGAGGCTGAGAGATGGATTGTGAATTTGATCCGAAACTCAAAGCTTGATGCCAAGATTGATTCAGAGACGGGAACTGTTACCATGGAGCCTAATCATCCCAATGTGTAAGATTTCTTTATATAAGCCATAGTATACAGTGTACAATCTGTTCTTTCAGTTGTGCCATAAGTGCTTTGTCCCTTTTGTTGTCTCTTTGTTCAAGTTCTCACCGCATCTTCCATCTTTCATATTGTAGTCCATCCATCCGCATTCCATTTGTTCCTCTTCTTTGAATGACTTTTGATTTTGTTACCATATTTCTCCAGTTACGAACAGTTGATAGACCATACCAAGGCACTCCAAGGGCGTACCTACAAGCTAGTCAGCCAGATTCTTGAGCATGTTCAGGCACAGCCTGCTCGATAAGGTTTTGGGGAAGTTGGAATTATTTGCAATTTTGGGCCATGGCAGATTGTTTTCTGAGAACAAATTAGAGTTTCTGATTTGGATCAAGACTGAGCAATTAGTAGTGTTCAGCAAAAAATATTCTATGTTTATCATGACAAAGGATGTCATTAACTTGTCTGGATATGTTAAAACGTATAATGTATTGTACTCTTTTAAAGTTTTGGCCAAGGAAATTTGTTTAAATGCCTTTTTAAAGAGCATAGAAAATGGTTTAAAATTTTTCATCTCCAAAATAGCTTGTAATTATTTATCAAAGCTAGTTATAGCACTAGCATCGATTATATATCCCATTCACAATGGAATAAAGCATGGTCAACAGACTCAGCATCATTCTGACAGAAAGAATAGAAGATAGGGTCAGGTTTTACCTCTCTCCTCCATAGATTTTAATTTGCAGCAACGCCACCAACACAAACCCTCCATAAAAATTTTATGATTTTACGGTTATTTGCATCTTTCCGGACGTCCCTACTGTTGAATCAATCCGATGTGATGATGTGAAATCTCCAATTTTTACGTAACGCAGAGTAGCATGACAGTGCTGACGTGGATCGAGGATATTTTTGTTTTTTTTATGGTGAATTTTAGTAAATGTTTTACATTAATGATTTAATGATTTATTCTTATAAAAATTTATTTTTACATTTTGTCCAATCAAATTGAAGATATGAAAGAGAGAGGGACTCAGCATTTTTCCTACATGGTTTTTTTTTTTTTGAGAAAAAAAATATTGATCAAATATAGAAAAAGAATGGCGTCTATGCACTTTCAGCTATAGTTCTTAGTCTTAATTTTGATCAAATATAAGGGGAATTAATTCTCAGCTTTAGGGTTACTAAAACAAGTACAATGATGTACATGGTAGAAGGAAAACCATGGATAAAATGGTACACAATTAATGGACCATCATTATATGATAGAGGAAGGAATGTATGTGCAGCAGAGGAGAAGAAAATTTTAGCTGTTCTTTAGGTATTGAACACAAAGAATCTGAAGATTCATTCCCTCTCAAGGTCGTAAAGGCAATAGTGACGACTTTCTCTGACTTTGCATGCCTCTTAACTTGAGCGGACTCCACACCAATGATTTCCGCTGCAAAGCAACAACGGTTGGATGCCTTGGCTTCCATGAACCTACCTGTGCAGGGGGAGGAGGACTCCCCATGAACTTGCTGCTGCTTCTCGTCGCTGCGGGTGTTGTCTCTGATGGGTTCCTGAACTCTGGCAATGGAGAAAACAATCTTGAGTATCTTGCTTTCCTTGGATCCCGCACTAATGATGGTCTGTCCATTGTGCCACCATTGTTGAAACCAGAAGCAGAGCCGCGGAGTGGTGTGGTCATGTATGAATGTGGCTGGAGGGTGGCGATGGACACTCGCCTTTTAGGCTGAATAACTTGTGTCGTCGCGGTTGAAGGTCTGACAGCAATGGAAACCCGTCTTGGTTTCAACAGGGTTTTTGTGTTTGTTGGTGGTGCCATCACAGTTTTGGGGTAGTTTTCTTTGTCATCTGATGCTGCCATGGCAATTCTAGCTGTCTTTCTGTTAGTTGGCATAGGTGATGCTGGAGGCATGAAATTGGTGAGCCTTCGCAATGGTAGCCTCAGTTTTGATGGACCCAAAGGTGGTTTTTTCTCCATTTTGGTCTTCCCTGCTGCTTGCGTAAGGGATGTTTTACTAGAAGCAGCAGCAGCAAAAGCTCTGGTTTCCTGCTTTAATCTGGTTTTCCGTTCCTCTGCTAATTGATTTTCAAGGTCACGAACCTGTCATCAAATTCCAAAGAAACAAAATGATACAGAATATCAGGAAAAAGAAAAATCAGAATCTAGATGACTACTAAACTTCATGATCAGAAAAAGCTGTCCTAAAATCCAACAGAAAGGCTGCTTTGGTTTGTTTAACAAACCTTTTCTTGGAGACTTCTGCATATATGTTCTCTGGCAGCCAGTCTCAACTGCAATGATTGTACATTATCCTGCAGCTTCTTTGTTTCCTTCTCATCATGTTTTAACTTTTCTGCCTGTTAATTAATCAAAAACCAGAAGTCAAACAAATGAATCCACCCAAAAAGTTGGAGGGAAAAAATTTAAATTTGATCACTTCACCATACCATTTGCTTATACTTGTAAAGCTCGGAGAGATCCACCTGTTTGCGGGCAGGACCACTTTCAATCCCCCTGACTCGGCTTGCAAAATTCAGTGAACAGAGGGTCTCCCCAAGGTCTGCATCACTTGGGCTGATCTGTACAAACATCAGGGTCTTGCAATCTCCTCCTGTATTTCATGGTTCAGTTAGAACACTCTGATAGTAATACCTGTGAAATCTTTCATTAGGCCACTATACATGAATAAATATCCTTCACGGTCAATCTTTCCAGATTAACCAGCTTCAGATGCCCAAAGAATTGACTTCAGTGATACTCTGGTGAAAGAAAAGCTTACCTAGAGAGCTCTGTAGCATATGTGTGAGCTTTGAGTTCCTGGTTTTCCATGGAAAGTAGAATCAGTAAAAGCATAAATGTCAGACATAGATATGTTTTCCGTGTGTGTATGCAAGAGAGAGAGAGAGAGAGAGAGAGAGAGAAACCTATAAGGAACATGGCCTGTTTTGGATGCAAGGGCAGAAATCACATCACCAAGCGCTGAGAGAGATTTATTAATAAACTGGGATTCCTTCAACCTTTCACCTTCAACTTCAATCTTTCCCACACGCTCACTTCCAGCCAAATCTACCAGCCACAGGTGACTCCTGGTCTTTTGGCCATTTATCAAATTAGTTCCCCTTACAGTTACACGCAGCAAGCTGCAATGAGACAATTTTCGTCATTACAGTAAAACAGGAATGTTCGGATGCACCATTATTTCTCAGCCACTATTGTTGAACAACAAAATTTTCTAATTTATTAGATAACAGGAACTCTAACCTCTCATATATAATTAGGAAACAATAAAAACGGAAAATTATGAGTTACCAGTGAGAACGGCTGCTCAATTCATTGGCGTTGGTGGCTCCAACAGATCTGACCCGGCTTCCGGACTTTAGCAGCTCCCACACTTCCTCTGTGCTGTAAACAGGAGCTTCAACAAGTCCTGGAACTTCTTGTGTCCCTTCTGCTGCTTGCTTGATCTCCAACCTTTATCAACATAATGTAGGACTTCAATTAGCCTTGGAAACTTCCTAAAACTGAAGGTTTTTGAAATTGCTTTTCATGAAACAACCATAGACTGGCTAGAAATTATGACATGTATTTTTTTTACAGCATCAATGGCGTCGTCTTCTCAACAAATTGCCCATAAGAATAGTGATTAAAGTTTGTGCCAATGAATTTTATTTCATCATGAGGAGAAATGTAAATTGGTGCTTAACCTGGATATTAATATAAATGTGTTTTGCAACCATACTTTAATAATTGACCAACCATATACAAATCAATCTAAGGAACTAACTTTTTAGTAGGCCGGTTGGAGTTTTCTCCTAGCAGGTCCCTTATCTTTTCATTGTAGACCTCCATCATGCTGACAAATAGCTCGTATCTCATTACACCACCTCTCTCTCCAGAAACTCGAAACAACTCCTCCAATGTCCTGTAGTTAACTCCCCTATTTTCTAGTGTTCCCTCCATTGTAAATGTCTTCCCAGTTCCAGTTTGCCCATAAGCAAATATGCAGATATTATAGCCATCCAATACAGAAGTGACAATTGGTTTAGTTTGTGCAAAAACAACCTCTGCATAATTAAAAAACAAAGAATTAAAAAAATTTTATAATAAACTTGGTCAAAAGATCTCAGGTCATAGTAAATTCAGCCAAGAGATCTAAGGTTACCTTGGCCATCCTCAGGCCTAAATACGTGGTCAAACTTGAATTGCTTCTTGGAAGAATCAGATGAAATTATCTGCAGCTCAGTATCTTGGGACGAGTCAAATTCAGCTACAGACGAGGACCCATTCACAACTTCAACTTGGTTTAGTGGTCTACATCTGCAGAAGACCCTGATGTTTCCTTTAAGTTCAATCACTTCATTGTAGAGGCGCTTCCTCTCTGATGACTCATCTAGGTACTTCTTCTTCAGAAGTTCATATTCATTGTCTATACCAAACAGGAAGGAGAGAAGCAATTCAAACCAAAAGAAAAAACACAGATGCGAAAACAGTTGTTTCTTCAATCTATTGGGTACTTACTGAGAAGCTGAATATTTCCTACAACATCATGGCCAGGAAAAGAATCTGTAGTGATGCCCTTCACTTGATTAGACAGAATTTCGTGCTCCATCTTCAAATTCTATGACATTAAGTTGTGAAAGTCAAATTGTTTATGAAGTCAAACTATTGTACCAAAATAAAAGTTTTGGTTTATGAAACATAAGAAAATAAAAGTTTTGAGTTTATGAAACAAAAACCTATCAATCAGAAAAAAAAAAAGCAGACTATGAAATTAATCAGTGTTATAAATTTAAAATGGTAAAATAGTACAAAATTTTACCTGAATACTGTTACTCAAATTAATAACTTTTTGTAATATCGGAAGAGTTGGCCCCTCAGCCGAAGAAATGTCTTGGTTCGTGTTGGATATCGGATCGTCATCCATAGAATTGGTATTCTCTTCTACTAGTTCTAAAGAAACAGCCAAAAATCTTCACATTAGTATTCCGATTATATGAATGTGTAAAAAAACAAGATTTTGTCCCAAAAATTAGAATTTGAAGCATTTAAATGCACCAAATAATTAAAAAAAAACAGAAGAATTAGTAAATTATAACACCTTTCTAGGCAATGCAAAGTACAAAGGGTTCATGGCCTCTAATCAAAAGTTTCAATAAAGGTTTAAGTTCAACTAAATATATGCCACATATTCTACGTTTTGAACTAAACAAGCAAATCAGAGAGGAGAGGGTCAGATCTGAACAGGATCCAAGTAAGCATTCTCTAGGGTTTCGAACATGTTAAAAAAAAAATCCCAAATGGCTCATTTCTCTTTCAATTTAAATATTTATTCAAGACTTGCCTAAATGATTTCTTTTCTTTCCACTGAAATTAGATAAAATAGAAAGAAAATACAAAGAAAAGGAAAGTCTCCAACCTTGATCAAGAACGATCCGATCGCAACTCTCCGTGCACATTTCCACCGTTTTTTGACAGATTTTCCACAAATTCAAACGA